TATAAACCCTAAACTCTAAACCCTAATCCCTGAACCCTGAGACGCCCCAGGGCTCCTCGTCGTTCAGGCCCCGCCTCAGCGAGGAGGACTGCTACGGCTCACCAAGAGGCTCCAATATTCCTTAATTAAGGAATATTCCTCATATCATATTAGGGATCCTACTATAATTTCAGGTATATTCCTTAATTACGGGATGTTGGAGTCTCTGGGCAATCACAGTTCCTCCAAAACGTGCTTTTACGCTCCGCAACTCGGACAAGCCAGAAGAGGTTCTTGGTGCCCGTCGGTGAACAAGGACGGTGCACTCGAGTCTGCTCTACCATGGTTTTTAGGATTTAGGGTTGGGTTCCTTAACTTTGTAAGCATGTCGGGTTTGAGGGCTTGGTGCTTCACGCAGCTTCCGGCTTCCAGCGTTCAGGATTTTGGTGTATGTTGGGGTGCTTGGCTCCGAAACCCTCATGTGTAAACCGCGCAAAGCATTGCAAAACCTTCAGGGTGGGACCAAAAACCCCTCAAACCGTGAGTCGCCAAACTCCGACAGCCTGAAATCCCACAAGCTGCAACTCTCAAAAGCTCCCATGAACCCAAACCCCCAACCCGATTCAATCTATATAGTAGATAACCTGCAAAGAAAATCGCCCAAACCAGGAACACTTGAAGGAGCCGTTAAGGGCTCTATCATCGGGTTCCCGTACGGCTTCCATGACCACCTGGCCTTATAAAGGAACCTTAGTCTAACTATGAAGGCTCCTTTCTTCAACCCTTAATTATCGTAACCTGTTTAGATGTCTTTATAAGGCTCCCTTTACAGGCTCCTTTAAAGGAGCCTCAACCCGCCACTGCTGAGGAATCAGCTCTGACTTCAGCTTGGCATATCTCGCATCCAGCTTGCGTTCGTTCTCCTCCTGCTCCTCCACCTGAGTGTGGGGTTTCGGGTTGAAGGTTTAGGGTTTCGGGTAGGGAATTTATAGGGTCTCGGAATTAGGGATGCGGGAACAGAATTTGGATTCGGTCTAGGCTCAAGGTTTAAAGAGTTTGCAGGGCTACTATACGGCGTCCGGATTATGGGCCTGTAGGGTTTACAATACAAGCCAAAAAGCTGGAAACCCTATAGCCTCAATCCTCAAGAGTAGTGTAAGGGGAATCCCGGCTCTATTTGGCCTCAATCAGGTTTCCAACTTTATGGGGTTTACTGTAATTCTCGGAAACTCTAGACCCTTATAGAGCCCTTTAAAGGAAACCTTATAGTAACCTAATATTAACCCTTTAAAGGAACCCTAAGGATTGTCGGAAATTGGAGGCTTCAAGGGCTTACTTTGTCAATAGCGTAGAGCCAGGGTTTTGAACCCATCAGCACCTACGGTTGATGATATCAATCCTGCATTAGGTTAAGGACCCTAAACTTTGGGAATTATGGTATTTTCCTTATGATGGGTAATGCAGGATTTCTATCATCAACCGTAGGACCTATACTATTATACATGCAACACTGAACCCTGAGCCTTCGTTGACTTTATTCCAGGCTTGCTATGAAATTGCAGGCGTTTCGGCCGAAGGCCCTTCCCCACCGATGCAGCTCCGGCACTGCTATGTATAATATCAGGTATCGGTGCCTTCATGATTCGAACAAGGTTTTGAGGCATATTATATACTATACAGTACTGAGTTTACTTATAGTAAGGACCCCCCAAAAAAAGTATGGGTAATTATGCAGGCCCTATACTAGCATATAATGGGGTGTGTTACAGCCGGGGGTCTTGGTCGGTGATTAGCTTTCTGTCATACCTATATTTGCGGCAGCACATGTCTGAAACTGCCGGAGCGGGCCGGCGTCTTGATAACTTAGGTTTATCTGGGATGTAAGATTTAGGACTGAAGGTTTAGGGCTCAGGGTTTGGGGTCAGAATCTCCTTAAACAAACTCGTGCATGGAAGGCCCAGTAATTATGTCCTGTTTTTATGCACATTATCTCTCTCTATATGATTGTACCACATGTTCTGAGTGATATACACATATACGCACATAGAGTCCTAAGGTGAAATCCGCAAACTTGGGGAGGCAAACCATGATTCTGACTGAAGTCTATTCTGGCACAAAGCCGTCGACGAGAACTACCAGGAATTAAGCCCGCAAGTGCCCACCGCTTCGTTTTCCTTCGTGTATTCCCATGGGTTCCCGCAGATCGGACTCATAGCGTCCGTCCGGGGAAGTTGACATCCCACTTTTCTGCCAAGAAGACCAACAAATAGTCGTCGACGAGCTAAAACAACCCTAACAACGTTTGTGTTGCAAGGGTACTGGCAACAATGAGTTACGCTATCAGCGAGAATCTACGGCAGGAGCAGGGCATAGTGGTACAACTTGTAGCGGGTTCAGCACTGTCTTATTCAGTGAGCACAAGGGACAAGCAAGATCAGTCAGAAATATCAGTGCCCATGCCACATGCAGTAGGCACTCTAGTACCAGTGAAGGACAAAGTAGAAATCAACAATCTGTTCAACTGACCAGTTGCCGTCAAGGAACTCATGTTAGTGTTGACTCAAACACATGAAACAGGAATCATGGTCATCATAGACAGGATACAAGCAGGAACTGCCTCGTGCTCTTAATTGCGGAAAAAGCAGCGTACAAATATCGCATTGCGGCCTTCGTGGCATCAGCGAGATACTCAGGCGAAGACGAAACTAAAGCGCAAGGGCCGGCTTCCACATTTCAAAAATGTCGGAATTCAAAATCCCAGGGTATTGAAGCCCCAAGTCTAGAAGGGTTTAGGGTTTTGGGTTTAGGGTTTAGGGGTTTAGGGTTTAGGGGTTAGGGTTTAGGGTTTAGGGTTTAGGGTTGAGGGTTTAGGGTTTAGGGTTTAGGGTTTTAGGGTTTAGGGTTTAGGGTTTAGGGTTGAGGGTTTAGGGTTTAGGGTTGAGGGTTAGGGACTGGACTCTCCTGTATGACCTCTGCTCAAGAAATCGCCCATGGGACACATCTGCACTTGGCAAATTTGTGTAGCTCTGCAGCTTCTAACAGTCTACACTAGGGGCCTAATAATTCGAGCAAGGTTTTGGGCTCCTTTGCAATATAAATTAGTTAGAAGAAGGAACCCTAGGAATAATGTGGGTAAATAGTTAAGCTTCTATGTTACATAAAGAGTGTGAGAGCCAACCCGAGCTCTAGCCTTTGCAATTTGAATTGCAACCCTTCCCGGTGCCCGCAACCAGCGTACTTAAAAGTCCTCCCATTCTGGGATGCACGCACGCCTTAAGTGGCTGCTGGTTCATTCAGAGGCAGAAACGTTGTTGAACAAGGCACTTTGTTGACGAAGCCAAGCAAGTGTAGCTCCAATACTCCATTTGGGGATAGACCAGGCTACAACTAGGAAAGTGAGACGAGCCAGACTAGATGACTAGCTACTGCAGATAGCCACCTCCACTGAACGCTTTCGCTTCAACCTCCGGCAGAAGAACCGCCAAACACAGATCCTTTTCTCTGCAAGCTAAACCTGCACATCCATTGAGAGTTCCCATCTTTGTAGCAACTGCTCAGGGCCACAAATCAAACCCAAACACCACAAAAGGATCAGGCGACTTGGTAAGCAGGTTTGTAAGTAGCGTTGCAAGTAAGATAATCCCGCTTCAGGTATATACGACTCTACCCCATTTACTGCATCCACGGCAACTCCTGTCTTCATCCGCCGCCTAGGAGAAAACGCCGGAACCCGAAAGCATTATCTCGCCGACAGTTTTTGGGCTCTTTTGCCTCTTGAAAAACACCAGGCACCAAGGGGATGAAGCAGTTGCCCCCTCAGCCGCTGAATGCGGCATAATGCATACGGCCGTTTGGGCCTAAGTATGAGGGTTGGGGTCTGAATTGTTTTGGGTAGGTCGGGTGTAGCCTAAAAGACTGGGGAAGTTTGGAGTTGGAGAGTCAGGTCGGAGGCCTCAAAAGGTGGGACGAAGGTGGGTAGGATCAAGGACTATAAGGACTCTCATTTGGGCATATCCCACCTGCCTTCATCCCACCTTTTGAGGCCTCCGACAAGGGTGTCGGTCTGTCGGTCACTGCCGAAGGCCACCCTCCCGGAATCTTCAGAAACACTGCTGGCTCTTCGGCAGCATCTTAAAATAACTGAGATTGCTGGGCTACTACAGGGGCCTCAACAACTAGAATAGGGCTTTTGGTAATATCAACTGTATTAGTATTTAAGAAACCCCAAATTGGTATTGGTAATTACTTTGGCCCCCATAAAGCGCCAGATGGCAAAAGTTGCGAACGAACTCTGATCCGCAAAACCAGACTCAGCTCCAGGTAGGCATGTGCCAACACACAAATAAGGAAACGCCCACTTCTGAAGACGAAAATTACACAATCTACATAATGCAGGATCCTAAACCCTAGCCTAATTTCTGCTTCTCAACTTTGCAGCTGTTGCGAACTAAACACCAAACCTATTGTCTTTGTTGCGGAGAATGGCGCGTTCCCGTGAATTCAAGATGCGGTCGGCAAGGCTCTCGAAGCTACTCTGCAGACCACACAACATAACAGCACCTATCAGGGACGTGTCAGCGCGTAGTTCCGGACTTCTTTTTCTAGGGTTTTAGCTCGAGCCAGTGGGCCCTGCTTGTCTGACAGCCGAAAGAGACAGCTACATCTCGCTGGTTCGTGTCGGCATGGCGCAAAGCATCGAGTTGACCATCAGCACGCGAGCTCCCAATTGCTTCCGGGATGTCTCTGGGATTTAGATGCTTTCGGAAAAGACGTTGCCTCCTAAGGACCCTCAGGGGGGTAGGGGGAGGGGGGTAGGGGGCCTTAATGCCCATAATGAGGACAATTTGAGGAAATACGGTCCCGTACCCCCCTCCCCCTACCCCGCTACGGTCCCTATGACTGCTCTGTCCCTGGTTTACTAAATTCACTGCACATTACAACCGCTCTCGTGACGGCAACTCTGAGACTTGTGCCGACAAGAAAATGCTTTATTAACACTGCACCCAAGCAAAACCAATGGTTCATTGGTTGAGCCTCCTTCCCATCAAGCGATTGCCCTTCAGGCTCAGTTGCGGAATGCTGGGTTTCCTTGGTTGCAGTTGAACGCCCGCAAGTTTGTTTATGCAGAGCTACTTCTCTACAACGAAATGTGAAAGTTAGAGATTACCCCCGTTGCCACCAAGACGCTTGCTGTCTGACTCAGCGCGGCATTGCAACTCCTCCTTCGCCTCCTCGAGTGCCTTGCTCTCTCTCGCTCTCTCTCTCTCTCTCTCTCTCTCTCTCTTTCTCTCTCTCTCTTTCTCTCTCTCTCTCTCTCTCTCTCTCTCTCTCTCTCTCTCTCTCTCTACTTGACTTATTTCCCCTAAGCCCTATCTCTCTCTCTCTCTCTCTCTCTCTCTCTCTCTCTATACTTGACTTATCTTCCCTAAACCCACAACCGATCTGCACCGAAAGCTGCGACGGTCTCAAAGAAAAACAACTGCCATCCTGACGTCTGACTGACACTAAACCCTGAACCGAAACACCAAACCAACGAGTCCCACGACGGTACTTCGAAATCATTCTGAAAGCTGAACACGACAATATACTAAGGCTGCCCTACATATTGAAACAACATAAGCACTATCATCATAGACAGAATGCCAGCAGGGGCAATCACAATTCGAACGGGATTTTGGGTGCTCATTCAACTGCGACTATCATGCGGTGCCCTGAACAACCCTAGCAAAACTCTTTTTTGCAGATCCCGACAGCCCTAGCCCCTAAACTTAAACCTCTAACCCGCCAAACCCTTAATAGGCCAACCAAGCCGCAGACAAAGGAACAAACGTCGGTGGGCTCCTAAAGAGTTCCATGGAGATCTGCGTGGCCTCAGTGCAATAAGACTAAAGGTAATGCAGTTATCACATTCATGATAGCACTAGACATACGATCAAAGAATTGGTCAAACAGTGGTGGTAGTGGTAGTGGTGGCGGTGGCAGCGGCAGCGGCAGCGGCAGCGGCAGCGGTAGTAGTAGTAGTAGTAGTAGTAGTAGTAGTAGTAGTAGTAGTAGTAGTAGTAGTAGTAGTAGTAGTAGTAGTAAGTAGTATAAGTAGTAGTAGTAGTAGTAGTAGTAGTAGTAGTAGTAGTAGTAGTAGTAGTAGCAGTAGCAGTAGCAGTAGTAGTAGTAGTAGTAGTAGTAGTAGTAGTAGTAGTAGTAGTAGTAGTAGTAGTAGTAGTAGTAGTCGTGGTAGTAGTCGTGGCAGTAGGAGTGGTAGTAGTAGTAGTGGTGGTGGTAGGTGTAGTAGCAAAAGGAGAAGAGCCGGAACAATCACAGCAAACAAACAATGATACTCATAAAAATGATGAATGTGAGAATGAGCCAGATAACACTGGTAGTAATAGTACACAAAGTATAGAAAACGATGGTAATATCAAACACAGTTACACTGGTAGTAAGATCACTCTTGATGCTAAGAAAAACGGCATAATGATAAACCCATTATAAAAATGGAAGCAACACGAATAACAACAATAATGGCAACAAGAACAGAAACAGTAACATTCAATGCAACAGTGATATCGAAAGAACATACTAATCGAAGTAATAGTAGTAATAACCACGGTCATAACAAGAGTAAAAATGTTAACATTTTTGCTAGCAAGTAATAGCGTTAATAAGAACCATAAAATCATGATCGAAACCGTGGTCATAATATTATGTGCGAGTAATTAAGAACATTCGTTAAAATGTAGACACACAATACTAGTACTAGCACTAGTACTCACGAATGAGTGTCTTATAGCAGTATCTTGCCGTGATCGCTTCTGATATAACCTAAATATCCCAAATCCTGTCATGAAAGATTCGGGGTTGTTCAACCAACTGCTACTGTAAGTAAGCATTGTCGTGATGACTAGGTGGGGCTTTTAAAGCCTTTGAAAAATATTAGTAAATAAAATCCACTTAAGCCCAATAAGGGAAAATATAAAATGTCCCAAAGCCCTACCTTGTGATGAGCGGGCCCGGAATCCGACACTTTTTGTTGTCACTCGCACTCGGCAGGCAGGCGAGGTTTCGAGCGTTTCGGGCGTTCAGGGGGAAACTAGGGTTTAGGGTTTAGGCACATTAACCAAGCCATCCACATCATCGGCGCATGAACCGAACCACATTCACCACAGTCAGATCACGCTCATTTACACCGCACCAACACACTGTGACACAGCATTTACAGAGTCATCACGGCTGCCAGTCTGGGCCCATGTGTAGTCCTGTTGCTTACGCTCGCTGAATCTGACACTTACATCACCGAATCTCCCCAAGCACCAAGAGAAGATATGCTCCCGTTAGCGCGCAAATACATGCTTTCACACAAAGCAACCTGAAACATTCAGTGGTTCCACATCGCCCTGTGCCACGCGTGACATCAGTATATGCTTGCGAGGCACCGGCAAGAACCCGAAGTACATCTCTCAGCCCAAATGGGCCCAAACGCTGAACCCTAAACCCCTATACCCTTTTTGCATCCAGGACTCTATACCCTAAACCCCTAAACCCTAAACACCCTGAAGCCTTTAACCATCTGGGCGGCAGTGTCGCTGAAGTCGGCGAGGCCGGCTTGCTGGAAGGCTTGCGCCGGCAGCTCGGCTGGCAGCTGTCCTAGGTTTAGGGTTTTCTTCCCTCTCGCATTGCTTGGAGAGGGATGTTTAGGGTTTAGGGTTTCTGCCCAGAGAGCCCAATACCCCTTAATTAAGGACTATGGCTTAAATCATCATATGAAGCCCCTTATAATTGAAGGTATATTGCTTAATTAAGAGGACTTGGGCTCTCTGGGTGAGTAGCCACGTTTTCATAAGGGCACCCTTTTTCCTACTATTTCGGCGTTGATAAGGGGACCCAAAAGAAAGAGTGCAAAAGGGCAGGAACCAAGTGTCCAAGCAGCAGCTGCAGCTGAGCCCAAGAAAAGCTGCCAGCTTTTAACCTCTCTGGCGTACTATACGGGCCTTAATGATTAGAGTAGGGTTCCTTTGAAGGGGTCTATAGGGGACTTATAGTAGGGTTCTATAATGTTACTGGCCTTAATAATTAGAATAGAGTTGGGGCCCATTATACTATAATTACAAAAAAGAAAATACACTATAGGTAATTATGAAGGCCCATGTATTACCATTCCAACTACAAGTGTTTCCGCTTCGGCAATCAGATCCAGGCAGGAAACCAAAGGTGCCAAGAAGACAACATGCAAAAGTTGGTCAAGTCACAAACTGACTGAGGGCTTGCTAGCAAACCCCAGCTTGCAAATTGAAACGCACTTGTATCAAGGAAAAACATTGTGCCTTTTTTTGCAGGCTTTAGCACAAAGAAGGCTAAAACCCCAACCCAACTAGCGAAGACCCCTAGCTCTGCACACCAAAACCCCCAAGTTCTGAACCCCACACCGTCCTAAAGCCTAAACTCCCCACAAAAAACAAAACCCGCCAACTGCCCTTTATTGTAGGAATATGACAGCCCCTCGAAACAGACAACCCTAAAAAACAAAACCCTGACCCTAAAACCCTAAACCCCCACAAATCGCTCTAAGTCCAAGCCCTAGACACTATAAACCCTAAACCCTAAGACCCCGGACTAAACCCTAAGCGCTCAACTCGAAGACCCTGGAGCCTTGCAAGTAGATCTTGGTATCGCTTCGCTGAGCTCGCATTCGTCTTTGGTGTGTCGTCATTGGACTCGAAAGACACCCCCAGTGGCTGAACGTCCCATCCTTTTTGTCTTTTGAGGTCTATCCTTGTTACTTAAAGGATCATTGGACTCAGCAATTGGGGTTATAAGTAAGGCAACTACAGTTACAATTACATATAACCGTAATTAAGGTACTTATAGCCCTACTTACTAAGTCCCATGATCCTCCAAGTAGGGTTCGTGGCATGGTCAGGGGTGCAGGGTTGCGGCCAGGGATTGTGGCGTCGGGGTTTATGGCTGGGGGTATTTTGCTTAGGGTTCGAAGTTCAAGACTGTGTCTTTAGGGTTCCGAGATGCGCGGGCTTTTGGAGTTCAAGACTTCATAAGCCACGTTGCTGCATCCTGGCTTAGGAAGTTGGCCAGGGAAACCCTCGACCCTGAGCACTAAGCTGGCTCGAAGGGTTCTGTTATAGTTTAGGGCAGGGTTGAGGGTTTCGGCGCTGACACTGTTTAGGGTTTAGGGTTTGCGCAGGGTAAATGCGATGTTAAGGGCATTGACCGCCGAGTTGAAAAGCTGGAGCCGGGACTTGGAAGATCATGGGACTAACTAACTAGGGTGTCGTGATAGTTGCTTTAAAACCCATTTAAGGCATGTACCCAACCTTACTTACTAAGTCCCATGATAACCCAGCATAAGTCCCATGATCCACCCAGCATAGAACTGCATCGAGTGCTGATAGTTTGCATGTTGATCACCAGGGTTTGCGGCTAAGGCCTCAGACTTTAGGTAAATTGGACTTCAAAGGGTTAGGACTTTAGGGTCTCTCGTTCCAGTACTCACACAAAAGCTGGGCGATCTGCATAGGTAAATTGGACGTCAATGGGTTTACGCTCTCGCAACTCGGACATGCCTGACGAGGTCTTTGGTTCTGAGTACGTTGACTGGTCGGCACTAGCAGCCGACGTTCAGTTTAAAGGGCTTAGGGTTTAGTCTCTGCGAACATGTAACATGTTGGCCAACCGCAGCCAAGCATCCGTGAAGCTGCGCTTGTTCGATATTTTCGTTTGCTGACCTGGTCCTCTCGATTCCAAAGTAGTAGCGCAAAGAAAAGTGCACCGGATTAGCATCTCAGGACACTTTAATAGTAATATTGACAATAATACCAACCCTTAACGGTTAAGGCTTGACCTGGACTCAGTCCTCTCAGTGGCCCTTTCAGGCCAATCCCCCGCTGGCACCGGATTCTTCGGCGAGCTGGATTCCGCAACAAAGTGGGCTGCGTCGTCGTCGATTTCAGTGCCAGCCACCTCCAGTTGATGCTACAGCACACTACCTAGAGGCTCCATAGGAGTACCTGTTGGGTGTTCATATTTAGAATCCCATAAGGTAAGCCCGAAAAGGAACTACAATGGAGCCTATGGGTATAAAGGCTTGCCGAGGAGCTGACGACCTATTCTTCTAGGGGTTGTAAAGCATCCCCCCTCAGTGCCGGGAGGGGGGATAGGTACATATGGGTCGTTGTCAAGATTATGGTCCCTTTTGGGGTACCCTAAATATTAGGTGCCGTACTATATTAGGGACCCAAAAGGGGGGTCGCAGGCCAAACCCCGCAGGAGAGCCAGAGCAAGGCTTCACAAGCTGCGGCTTGGGGTTTAAGGTTTACCCTAAGGCCCCAAAGTAGTTCCTTTTTGAGGCTCATATATAGAATCCTACAAGGTAACCCCCAAAAGGAACTACTTGGGGGCCTATGGGTAGGGGGCTTAGGGTTTGTCTCAATTTTGCTTCTGCGACCACGGGATGTCGGAGGCATGCTCTGACCTCCGATACGACTTGTGTTTCAAGCTGCATAGCAGAGCCTTTGTACTGATGTATGTATGTTGAGTCTGGGGATGTTGAAAAAGGATGGGCAAACCTGACTAGAAAACTGAGGAGTGTTGCTAGGACTCCTGCGGAATCTTGGTGACTGCATTCTTCGGCTGTGCTTCTGAAGGCCGCTCAAGACTCATAGTCGGTCCATGCCCACCTGCTTCGAGATCTGGCATAGATTCGCCATCAGCCCGCCGCAGTAAGGGATGGATGCCACACCCCGCCCGGAAGTGCTCGGCAGCACCTATAGGTTGATCGGGCGATCATAGACACTGTTCCCTAATCGGAGCAACTCACAAGGACCTTAACCTAGCAAACCAGACGAGATGGCACGGTAATTTTGTCCTAACACCGCAAGCATAGCAAGCAAACGGCCCTGTCACCGAAAGGCCCAAAACGCCTTCAGGCAGGTCTGCACCATGATGCCGTGGGATACCAGGATCATGTTCTTCTGGGCTCGCCGACCCCGGCTCAAGTAGGTCAAAAATCTCCTGTGCAAGTTTAGGGGTTGGCTTTTTTAGACTTTAGGCTTTAGGATAAACATGGATATGAGGGGGGTTAGAGTTTGGAGATGTTTAGGGGTTTAAGGCTTCAAGGCTATAGGGCTTCAAACGCTTTGGCTGCTTCTTAGTGAATGCAAACATCAGGCAATTAAGGGCTCTGGGTGAGAGATGCGGACAGCCTCGCGTAGCGGCGATGAGCATCTTGCATCTCTTCACCCCATGTGGGTGGGCGGCCCAAGATCTTCTTCCAGCCTGAGAAAGAGCTGTGCAGGTACGCTGGCTCTCAGATCCTAAAACTACAAGCAGACCTAGCCTGGGATCTCTTGCTATAACAAGCTGCAATAGCTGACCTCAAATGCGAACAAAAGCCAGAAAACCCCTGAGGTTGTGGCTCAGCAAACTTGAAGCGTAAAAAATCAGAGGCCAAGCCGACAAGCACATTACAGAAACGCCGCGAGGTGCCATAGCTTTACAATCGTTTACAATGGATCGCGACCCGCCCGAAAGCGAAACGAGCTCCGTGCGGCATAAATATTAACACGAAGAGCTGCGGGCATTGGGATTAAGCAGGAATCGTGCTTTTCGGACGGAGCGGACATGCTGTTAATTTAGGGGCCTTGATAATTCGAATAGGGTTTTGGGTCCCACTATACTGTAATTCGCCTCGGCCCCGGCCGAAGCGGTCAGAGGTTCCTATTCGGATTCTCCTATTCCCCACCTCTTAATCCCCTCCCACTCCCCCTTCCCTCCCGCCCCTCCTCCGCTCACTGACAGGTGCGAGCTTTCTGGAGTTTTCGACGACACGGGACTGCAATGTAGCATCTTTCTGTGCGTCTCAGGCTTGTTTTAGACGCCCTTTCGTTGGGATAGGCGGAGTAACGTGGTTGAAAAGGCTGTGATGCTTCCCTAATCCAAGACGCCCACGAAATCCACAGCCTCAACGGCCCATACTTAAGGCATCCCGCCGCTTGCGAGAGTCTTGGTATCCAGTGTTTCGGAATGACGACACCAAAATTCGTACTGATACTACCACTACTAATACTACTCACAATCATCCTGCTTCGTGTTGCTATGAACATTACTTTTACTATAAGTGCGATTCCAACTGTTACTTTTTTCCTACAAGAGCTTGCTGCAGATAGTAGCCACTCGCCGCATGCGCGTACAGCCGGGCCGAGGCGGACGACGCGCAGCGTTTCAAATTATAATGAACCCACCAAAATAGTATTGGTAATTAATCATTTACGCCGCTATAATACGCACCGCAAGGGTTCCTCGAGCGAAGGGCGAAGGAGTCGCGTGAATTGGACTTTCGGCTCCAAACGCAGCGCGGTGGCCAACCTGGCCCGCTGCCAAGCACCTCCGCTGTAAAACCCTTCGCCACGCTTCCGTTTAGCGCCCTTAAGGAACACTCGTAAGAGAAGAAGACTAGTGTAAGAGTCTTACTCATATTTGGAATAGGGATTATCCCCACCCTAAGGCCCCACAGTAGTTCCTGTTGGAGATTACCTTACAGAATTCTAAATATGAACCCCAAAAAGGAACTACTATGCGGCCTATGGGTAGGGACTACAAGGTAATAGTACTACTCGCTGTTCAGACCCCTATATTAGCTTGTAGCACCCCTTATTGCCCCTTCCGAAACCCTTCGGGCCTCTCTAATACAACCCCATGAAGAAACATAGAACCCTCACTCAACCCTAAACCCTCTAATACCCCAAACCCTAGAACCTGTAATACTCTAAAGCCTAAATGAAACCTACAATACCCCAAACCCTAAACCTATAATACCCTGAACCCTAAATAAACCCTCAGATACCCTAAACCCTAAATACAACCCATAAGGCCCATCATACTCTAAACCCTAAACCTTCTAGTGGATACCCTAAACCCTAAACCCTCTCTCTTGCATCCACCGTGGCAAACTCGTTCGACCGGCTCTTTGGAAAAGCCCTGGAGAAGCTTTGGGCGCCAGTCCTCGGATTCGACACGTGTCTTTGGTTTACGGTTTTTCCTTCCTGGTTTAGGATTTAGGGCTTAGGGTTTTGGGGTTAGGGTTTAGGGGTTTAGACCCTAGTTTGAAGAGAAGACTTTGCTTTTCCCAGAGACTTCAAATATCTCTTAACTAAGGAATATACCTTGAACTGTAGTAGGGTCCCGATTATGATTTAAGGAATATTCCCCTAACTAAGGGACATTGGAGTCTCTGGGCTTTTGAAGAGAAGAAGTCGCCTTTGTGGAAAAACTGGGTTGAGGTTTCTGTTTTAGAAAAAAGTTTTCAGAGTGATCTTCTCAGACCAACTTATGTAAGGTAAGGAAGGAGACTGTGCGAGTGTTACAAGGGAACAACTATGTGTTTTTTTCCAGCGTTTGGGGATTTAGAGTCTGAGAGCTTTCGGTTTTATGCGACTTAGTTACTTCAATCATTGAGTTAGGGAAGTAAGCCTTAAATCAGGCTGTGAGTGCCTTATAAAGAGCTTGTTTCTGGTGGTTCAGTTGGGGTCGAGAGTTTAAGCAGTCGCAGGTGTTGGGGTCGACGGCTTGAAGGCCTCTTGGGCCGCACTTCGGGTTTCCGGCGAAGGACTCGAATACTGGTGTTGAGAGGCGCCGGCACAAGCCTGATTCCTAAACTGTGTGATTTCGCTGCTTCGATGCAGAGCGCTTAGTTAGGGGATGTGTACTTGGAGGGTCATGGATGGTTATAATTGGAGTTAGAAGTCCACCAATATGGGTTATAACTTATAACTATAGTTACGATTCTTATCGCCCCATTTATGACGACCCTAGACCCTAAACCCTAGATCCTAAAGAACCCTAAAAAGAACAACTAGGAGAAACACCCCTTAATGACCCCACTTATAACTACCCATCAACCTCTCAGCAGGGTCGCTTAAACTAAAAATACTATATTATATAGGGCTTTCAAGCTATTTTAGATTTTTGCATTTGCCCGGCCTTCACGGCGGCATAAAGCTCCTGCCGAGATCGCCAGGCACGGCCGGCGACGAACCTTTCCACAGGGTCCTCGTTCAGCATATGAGTAGTTGTCTAAGCTTCCCTTTGTACAGTATTGGGAACATGAAACGTGACCCTAATCTAGAGAACTAAACCCTAAACCCTAAACCCTAATACCCCTTTAAGGAGTAGGGCCTGAACCCTTGTTGCATCTCCAGGCCCTGAAGCCCAAATAGTTCCTCTTTGTAAGACCTCTACAGGTTGAGGGTTTAGGGTTTTGGGTTTGGGGTTTAGGGTTTAGGGTTGAGGGTTAAGGCTTGGAGCACAGGTTTAAAAGGTTGGAGAGCGGATCGCGGCCTTTGAACTTGATAATTGAAAGCAGAGGCTGATCCTCCTGATCACACCCGTTGCCGCGACAGAAGAACAGGCAAGACAAGCAGTGAGTCACAAAGCACCGCAGCAGCAGTCAGCTATGCCAACAACGTCTTTTGCACCGGGACGGATCTGTGCACCAGCAACAATTAAAACACACAGTCTGAAATCACTTCAACAAGATCATGAGCAGGACGGCTCTCAGAAGTACAAGGCCCGTATAGCTTCAGCTTGGCTGCGAAACTCAATCTTTCATTATGGTAATAGCCTATTCAGACCCCCGGTTTACTTGCAGGGACAATGAAGTCATGATCCTCAAAGAACGGGGATTCCCTAAACCAGCGTAACAAATCGTACTGCCGAGTCTTGGTGGCTTTTCTGCCTCACCCTGATCTAAACTGCACCTTTGAACATTATTTATATACTATTATGATTCTCTACAAAATAATAGGGGAAACTAAAAAAGATCCCGAAGGACAACCCAGAAGAAGAGCTAGTCCAACCGTCACATATGGGGACCTGAACCCTCAAAAGGGGGGAAGGGGCCTACTCTGGGTCCTAGTGTAGTAGGATCCAAATTAAGGAATATACCTTCAACGGAAAGCTCAAGCTTTAGCTTGGAGCATTTGGGAGTTTCCGAAAATGGGGGACCTTACTATGGTACCCTAATTAGTAAGACCCTTATTATAAGACCCCAAAATAAGGTACCCCTAATTTTCGGAAACTCCCATTTCATGAGGAGCCCTGAACCCTGAACCCTCGTCCGGTCCACATCCCCGAAGACAGGAGGGCCAAAGACTTCTCCGAGCTCGTTGTCCAAAAGTACCATCAGATCCAACTCGTCCTGCATCAAGTTTTGGGGTTCCCTTGGCTCTTTAGCTCCTTATTTAATAGGGATTATCATCCCTGGCTCCTTAGCTCCTCCAATATCAACGGTGAGTCAAGGAACGACTCTGAGCCCGCAACCTACAGGATCACACCATGTCTTACCCTACCCCTGCTTCAGGGTACCGAATGTTTTCCTACGACAAAAGCATAGTAAGACCTTCTACGTACAGAGTACTTGGAGGTTCATGGGTAGTTATAAGTAGGGTAACTAGAGGGACTTATAACCCCACTTATAACTTATAACTACCCATGAACCTCCAAGTAGGGCAGTGTAAGGTTTCCGTCTCAGGGGATCGGTAATGACCGGCCACATCCTCCCAGGACAAGGCTTCCACCTACTCCGGTTGAAGGTATAAACCCTGCATCACCTGCAAGAAGGAATCTACCATACTTTCCATAGTTTAAGGTCTTTAAGGTAATGCAGGGACGTATATCATCAACCGTACGGACCCCCCACTTTCGGATGTCGCACCTTGGCCTTAATCTTACAAACCTAAATTCAATCCCAACACACTGACGACTGCCATGGCAGTCTCCTTCAATGAAGGTGGCAGTGGAAAAACTAGAAGCTAGTGTCAGGTAATGCAGAGAACTGTTTCCCTCCAGTCTGTGTTCACACTATTCACTCACCCAATCAAAGTATCCATACATCGCGTCGAGTTCATGCCTACCGAAGCCCGTATGGTCCGCCAGCGCTATCGCGGTTTGCACGCAGCGCAGGTAAGGCGAAGCCACGATCACGCCGAAATCTGCGAAATTCCGCAGCTGGCGCGCCGCATGCCTGCGTATTCATGGACTGCGGGCTCGAGGATGCGCAGACCGTGTGGCCAAAAGGGCTCACATAGGGTTTTTACTAGGTGATTTCATGATTCCACACCGATAGGCAAATGCTCAGTGGACCTGGGCCCTACCCATTGGCTGTATAGTAGTTCCTAGTTCCTTGTTGGGATTATTATGTTAAAGGAAACGATATAATATATGAACCCCCAAAAGGAACTACTATGGAGCCTCTCGGTAGACATCCAACGCTGCAATAGAAACCCACAAACCTCAAAGGCTCCATCCCAAAGAAGTTTTTGTAGCCTGAACCTCCCAAAAGCAGCAGACGAAAACACCCAGAGATAAGAGCGTAAGTATACACCTTGTGCACGCACTGGCACCACGTTTCAGGTTTTAAGGAGGTCGATTTCACTGCCTTATGTTTATGCAGATTTGGTCCATAGACAACCCTAAACCCTAAACCCTAAGCCCTAAACCGAAACTGTCGACACTGGTCATTCACCAGCCCTGGCCTCGCATCCAGAACAGCATTGTCGCTGATTGGGCAGTCAAAGGGATGCTTTTGACAATCATCCGTGCCGTGCCATGCAGAGGAGAAGACTGAGTCCTTTGATGGGGGTTTAGGGTTTAGGGGTTTAGGGTTTAGGGTTTTAGGGTTTTAGGGTTTAGGGATTAGGGATTGAGCTCACACGCTTAGGGTTTAGGGTCCGAAGGTTTATATAGGATCTAGGGTTCAAAGGTCTGGGGTTCTACCCATACATGCAGGGCATAAGCCCCAGTCTGGACCCCGAATAGCCTAATTACCTTTCTCAGGACTTGTTTCAGGAAATCATAAAAGGGTCTTCCAGGCTCTATAGCCTACCTTCCAAGGACTTGCATAAGGAACTCATAACAGGGAACAAAAAGAGTAGGTTCTTCAGGGCAACCCCCAAACCCCTTTGTACACCTGGACTACGCATATGCCAAGAACCGAGGCGCCGACTGTGCTGTGGGCTCGTGCCACACGGCTACCCCAGATTGCACCCCCAAACCCCTAAACCCTAAATCCCGAAGCCCTAAACCCTAAAACCCTAAACCCTAAAATCTTCTCTAGGCCCGGTCTCCTGTCGCTCGCCATGACGTATTACCTTTCCACGGGTTTAGGGTTTGGGAGTTGAGGGTTAAGGCGGTTTTGTATCAAGCTTCAAGGGTTTTGGGGGTTTACGGGTTCAGGGGTTGTGTACCAAGTTTAGGGATTTGGGGTTTAAGGCTTACTGTTTCGAGATGCAGGGTTAAGGTTTAGGGCTCGCCCTGTCCTTAAACTGCTGTTGAAGGTTGAGGCGGGGGAGCCGAGTGCTCGGAAGCTGCAGCAGGCTTGGTGAGTTTTGGGTGTTGGGTTCCTGGTTTAGGTTCCGGATAAGGGTTTAGGGTTTAGGGTTGAGGGTTCCGGATAAGCAGCCTTGAGTGAACCCTGATTCGAGCCTCTGTTTGTGTCGTGTTTCGAGGGAATGCAACGATTTGAGCCATCGGGCCGTCAGTTATAGGTGGGAGCATATCAACTTGACAAGAGAGGCTGACCTGAAACGGCAGATCCGAAATTATAACATGCCATTGACAACGGCTTAGGGCTAATTGCTAGCAATCGAACAGCAACATGTACATCTAAGGAGAGACGAGAAACCCTTAAATCAGGAAGTTGTCAGCCGCCACAACCACTACTGGAGGAACAAACGTAAATTAACATATAACAAGAAGGAGAAACAGCCGAAACACTACCACACCATTCGAACAAGCAGTAAACAACAATGACGACGACAACAATCACCGGTACAACGACGGCATCAACAAGCTCGGCATCGTCACGTGCAGCCGTTCAACAAGATTGCAGGGAGTGGACGAAATTAATGGCGCTGGACAGGTGGCAACTGCTTGGCATCATCAGTATGCACCAGATACCACTAGTAGCAATGTAGCAAGATCCGCACCATCATCCTCCTCACCATCGAGAGCGTCACCACCGTGTGCTTTGCCTTTCGCGTCTCCACGCCCCCCGCATCCTGATGCCCCTGGCCACGTGCACACCATCGTGTCAGCACCATCACCTCGCCTTCACCTTCCTCAACATCAGTCCTCAAGTACTTTATTAAGGAAAAACCGTATGGAAATGCGATTCGCAAGGGAGCACCAACTGACTCAACAGTGCTGAGGCACCGCCACTGCCGAGTGATTCGCACGGTCCACATGTGCGCCACCGCCAGCATAGTCCAACACACCACCTAAAGGTGCCGTCTCAGAGACATTCCTCGGTTAACCAGCGATGATAAGCTAGAGCAACAGGAAGCTACTGAGCACAGACAAAACAAGATTAAAGGATACCTGGTAGGCAGCACAGCTTCTCTGCAACACTGCTCAAACTGCTCGGTGTCTTCGCAGGTGGCCACTCAGCCGTCGTGTCTGATGCTGCAGCATCCATGCCAGATCTCTGTTCCGGCTCTTCTGGGTCCTCGAACTCGTCTGAAGGCTGCGAATAGAAGCTTCGACGCAGCGAACTCCGACTGCTCTCGCTATGGCACCTAGCAAAAATGTCCGTCGCATCGTAGTGTGCAGGGAACTGTTCGTCGCTGTAGCTTCCTGGGCTGTTCTGAGCGGCATTCTGGTTCCTTCTTAAGACTAACTATACTTTAGTGCACTTGAAAGCATTTCAAGAAGGGCCGAGCATCTGCCCGCCACAACAGGCAAGACGCTTGCACCCCTGGGTGTCACTTGCGTCACGGCTCTAGCTGCCGCCTCTTTCTCTTCGGGCTGTTCCTCAAAGTCCGGCCGACGCCAGAGCAACGTATGCTTCAACAGTGCTACCGACTCGACATCCCGAGGTGCTGTTGAAATAGCCGAATCCACGGGATAAGCCATGAGCAACGGTCAGGGGCTTCTGAAAACTACTGTCCCTTCTTCGTGGGCTTCAGGACGGCATCGGTCGGTAGTAGGACTGCGATTGAATCAGGCCGTCAGCAAATCAACCCGATGTCCCTTTTTTACAGGCCCCCATTCCCTTTTCAGAAGCCTCTCTATGCAAAGCACGTGGCTGTGAGCCATAACCAAGCCCGAAATACTCACATGCACCTACGTTATCTTGATCTGTGTCTGAGGTTTAGCGCTTCGGCATCTATGTTCAGTGTGTGTTCATGTTTGTGGAATAATTAAATTCGGCTCCGACTGTCGTACCGTACTCGCCGCACTCAGAAATATAAAGTGTTAGGGCTTGGGTGTGGATTTCAGTTTCGAGCACTTCTTCCCGCCCCCCAGCCCCAAGCGCCCGCAAGTAAGGGCGGCTGCGCGCTCAGGATCATCGTCGTCGTGCTCGAGCTGCATGACGTCGAAATTATCATCCATGACCTTATGGTTCTATAAGGGTTGTGTCGAGGCTTAGGAAATAGTTTAGGCACTGCCCCCATACAGTAAGAGTCTACAATAGGGCTACTATTAAGGTCCTAATATATCTATATATAGTATGAATATTACTCAATTATTACTGAGTGCGGGCCGTACCCAATGTATACTTTGGCCTGAACGTCGTCCCTTTGATTGTGCTTGCTATGGTTTCGAGTGGTCAGGTTCGGAGGCTTCCTTCTTGGCCCCGGCTCCGGTGGAAAAGACTCCGATACTGTAGAAGCTGCCCCCACCCTGTAATAGTGACTATAAGGATTATATTAGGGCCCTATTATATTCCTATTATACCACTATTAAAGGGTGGGGGCCCCTTCTAACCTATACTAAACCCTCAACTCCTAAACTCCTTTAAACCCACAAGCTACCCTAGCTCTGGAGTTTAGACCTCGGATGCCAGGTCTCTAGTGTATGCATTCATATGTATACAGGCACTAATAAGGGATGTTTCTTTACAGCCTGGGATCTTACAAGCACAGAGCAAAAGAGCCGTTAAACCTCCAAAGCCCTCAACCCACAAGGCCTACACCCTGGAGCGCTACAGCCATCTGCACCAAGTCCCACTGGCCCTATTTTTTTAGCAGCCCTTTAACAAACCCTAAACCCTACCCCCCCCCTAATCCCTAAACCCACCCTAAACCCTAAAACCTTAAACCCGAAACCCACCCTAAACCCTACCCCCCCTAAACCCTTAAGCCCTTAGTCATAGTCAAAGAGCCTCGAACCGGAGAGCAGAACTTGGAGGTTCATGGGGTTTAGTGTTTAGGGTTTTAGGGTTTAGGGTTAGGGTTTACGCTCTCGCAACTCGGACACGTCCAGACGAGGTTCGTAGATAGCAGGTCGGTTGACTACAGCACAACTCCAAAGACCTCCGAAGACAGCCAGAAACAAAAAGGTAATGCCATAGAGGACAGGCCATCGGAGTGTGCAAGAAGAGGCCCTTACATTGAAGGGAGCCAGGACCTTCGAGCCACCAGGAAACAGCGCAACGCAAGTTACGGCCATGTAGTACGTAGCACGAAGCTCCCGGCAGACAGTGCTGCACAACTGGCAAGATACCAGATACAAGCCAGCTTACAGGCAAGGACGACAGTGTGTGAATAGATCAAAAGGTCTATCTTAAACAGACCAAGCAGGGGTGATACAGCTACCAAGGGCGGTTTCACAGATTCAGTACAGCTGGAGGAACATGCAGAGAGATCGTACGAGCTCACGTCGAAGAACAGTCTTGTATCCAATCTCTCCAATGGAGAGATGCATGGACCCGCATCGTCTGCTTTTGGAAACCGTGTCCATTCCAGACTGTGTCGGTATGCTCAAATCCCAGGCTGTGTCGGCAGCTTCAGCTTGCTCAAAGCACGGAGGCATCAAGCCACATCGACCAGTCATCACGCTACAGCTTTGCTCAGTAATAGAGTTCCCCTAGCCATGGGCCGCATCAGGCTGCAGCGTGGGCAGTGGAGTAAGCCTGACAAGGCATGCTTGGTAGAGCGGCTCTCGTGCCATCGAGGCACAGATGCTCCGAACAAAGTGCCGGCGCTGACACAGCCAGGCCCACGAAGGGCTTCATTCGCGCCACAGCCATCTAGTGTAATCTTCACATCGCAGGCTCCACCGGAGCGCAACCAGAGGGCGAGACAACTCCATAAGACAGCGGTCAGTGGCGGCAGTGAGGCAGAGCAGCGCAACAATGAGCGCAGGGGACTGCCATGGCTTTCGCTCGCAGGGGGTTCGTGGTTCCTTAGAAAGTAAAGGGAAAAGGGGAGTGAACGGGATACCATATAATGACGGGATTAGGATCCAGTACTCGGTAGGTTCAGGGGGGGGTGACGACGAAGACGAAACACCAGCTCAAGTCGCCACCGAACGACAAACGACGCATGCATGCAGAACAATCCGGCATCATCTCAAGAGCAGACAGAGTGCAGGAAGCACCGTAGGAAAGAGCACGGCATGCAAAACAGTGCAGGCAAGGAAAAGGCAGTCCAGCAGAAGGCAGTCCGGCAAAAACGAATTCGAAGGCGCCCAAAGGCAGAAAACAACCTGTACAAAGAACTGTGAACGGACCGAGTCAACCTAAAAGGAGGCCGTACACTTCACGACCCTTTAGCCGTAAAGACCTTCGATCGGGGCAGGAAAAAGGACCCATCCCCAACACGGAAGATGAATCCCCAACCATTGCCAAACAATCGCTTCCGCCGTGCAATCAAGCCTACCCCAAGCATCCATGATACTTTCTTGCACGAAAAGGGCGTCCTGAGGTGAGGCATATATAGTCAGAGGGAGGTTGTTAGACGATCGGGGGTACTGTGAGACTACATAATCCAGGGAGTCTAAATACAGAAACAAATGGTGAACTCGTGCGTAGTACCAGTGCCAACATTTCTTGTACTCCCTGACGATGTAACGAAGTTCCCCTGCGGCCCAACAAGCAATATGTGAGGGCATCTGTCTCAAAGCAACCTCAACCTCATCAGCTGAAAGAGGGATGAAAGGGCGGAGGTGAGGGGCTGGACAATCTCAATGTGGGTATCCTCCATCTTACACGGAGAATCGCCCAAGTCTTGATCCAGGACTCACAAAAGAGAAGGCGAATCCGAAATTTCAACAACCTCATCCAAAATCTCAATGACGGCATGCTGGTCCCTTTCGTTCACCGGCAGTCTCAGAACTTCACGTAGGCTGAGCTGACGGAGACGTGGCAAAGTACACAGATCACATCCAAAAAGGGCCCGTTGTATGGTTTGTGGGGAAGGGATCGGGAAACCCAGCTGAAGTAAGGACCTGCGTACATCGTCGGAAAGGCTGCCACAGTGAAGCGAGCAGAAAGTCACAAGTGTGACTCGTTGTTCGGGTGAGGAGTGGGGACTAATGTAACCTGCGTGTAAACGATTTCTAGCATCCACGATACGAGGCTCATTCAAGTTCCAAATAGTACCGTTAAGGCGCTCCCCTCGATATGGAAGAGTAACGTCTCCTACGGGGTCCTGCACCCAGAGGCCTTCACCAAGGGGACAATGTGTGAGGGTTTGTACGCTACTAGGGATGGGCCCATTGCGGTAGTCGCGATGTACTTTATCCATACAACCTCTTCGCACAACACAAGTAGAGTACAGATGTGTGGGGCATGTCCGGGCCATGTACTTGTTAATAGCCATGCTCATAAAGGGCATTTCCGAGCTATGGGTGAGGCCAGAATCAGGACATCGTGGGGAAACTCCACTAACAAGATAAGATCCTGCAGGTGAGGGTTGAAGATGGGAGGGAGGCATCATGTTGAACAAATGCAAGATGTCTTGTTTAGTGGGATGTCCCGGGCGAACAAGAAGTTTGTATGCTCGGATTTCAACAGGTTGTAGGAGTGGACTAGGATGGAAGTCATGGCAGGCTAAGTACCAAGGCTCATGAGGATCGCGCTCGGGGAGGAACAGGTCTTCCCTAAGTAAAGTATCGGGAGAGCCTTGGGGCGGCAGAATGGACACAGAATACGTCTGAGAGTTATCCAGTTGTGTGTCTGCTACCTGCCCGTGCTCCCTGTCCAAATCATCGTCCAACACAATGACATCGGTGTTCAAAGGTGGCATCTGAACATCATGCTCGAGAACGACGGGTTGGGGTGGGGGCGCAGCCAGTTTACCTAGTGGCCACATCATGTCCGTGAGTCTGTGAGCCCAAGGTCTACAAAGCATGTCGACGTCAGCACTATAGGATCAGAAGCACATTCCTCAGGGTCGCGCGCTCGGTCTTTTTACAGAACTCTTCCGGGCTGGTGCGGTTGATGCAGGTCCAAGCAAATGTACAGGCCGGCATCGTGCAAAGTAGAGCAAAGGCAGGAATCATGCATACCACGGCAGTGTGTCAACATTATGGACTGGCCATATCCGAGACACAAAAAGGGCAGCGACGAATTCAGGAAAGGCAGTGCAAGCAAGGAAAACAGTCCGGCATAAATTCAGGCAAGGTGCATGCAGCAAGGCAAAACAGTCCAGCAGAGGCTCAGGCGGAAAGAAAAGTGGTTTGAACCCTAAAAGTGTTGGGGCCTAAACCCGAAGGTATAGATCTAAGCTGTGCTGGACTCGAGCAAGCTGCAAGTTGCCTCATCGTACAAGCGAGATCACCGGAGCGGGATGTTGAGGCTTCCTCCATCCGGGCTCACCGTGATGCCATGTGGCGATGCCAACGGCAAGGCTTGCTGTAAGTTCACTCGTGGACGAACATGTGCGTCGTAGGGAGGCGCCGGCGGGATATCATGATGTCCCTGGAAAACCGGGGCTCTGTACGATGGAGGGTGTGACGACACAACTGGCCTCTCACACATCTCCTTAATACTGTGAACTGTCTCGCTAGTCTGGCCAAGCGTGGTCTTGAGCTCGGCGACCTCGTTCTGGGTGAAGTTCAGGGCCGCGAGGATCTCGGGTTCGATCCCCTCCAGTTTCTGGTTGTAAACTTGGGAGGAGTTGAAGTCCGTATTGGTGATCTTCTTCAACACCTCCTTGATACCGTCAACCAGCTTGGCTTCCGTGGCCGACAGCCATTGGCCCTGCTCGCTATGGAAGTCCTTAGCCTCCTGCTGGGCATCTTCGCGGTGGCCTCTCACATTGGCCGAGATCGTGCTGAGGAGCCGAACGTTCTCCTTGAATCCTTGGTCGACTGCCTTCTGAGTCGTGTCGACGTTGGCCCCCATTGGGCCCATCTTCCCCGCAAAGACCCCAATGAGCTTCTCGATGGCTGCCACGCGTTTAGAGATCTCACTGAGCTCTGCCACGGAACTTTTGACCTCGGCAAGGGTGCTCAGCAGTAGTTTGATGTCGCCTTGGGAAAGGCGAACATCCCCATGTACTGCGTGCATGTCATCCAGAAGCTTCTGTGCCGTGATGGGCTGCGGACCTGTCGACTTCGGTGGTGGAGCTCCAGCAGCACCTGAGCCAGGTGGGCCCAGAGACTTAGGCACCGAGGTAGTCGAGGGTTGACCGTCCTTAGGAATCGCTGTATCCTTGGAGGGTGGCTGTGTAACCGAAGCGTCTCCGCCGGCTTTGCCAACTGTTCCAGTCGCATCTGCCTTGGGCTTGGCCGGTGCAGTCGTTCCAGTAGCAGGTTGACTGTCTGCGGAGGCCTGTGTATCAGATCCATCGCCAGTGACTGTGCCCGAGCTGGGCGACACCACAATGGTCGTCTTGTCCACTGTTGCAGTGGTCTGTGCAGGCAGCTGGGGCGCTTCGGAGGGTGTAGGCGGAGTAGGTGTGGGCTCGCTCTTGGAGCTCTGGTCAACGGAGCCGGGTTCATCTCTCTGGCGCGGCTGACCCCGAAGCATCGACAGAAATCCCTGGATAGCAAAGATCACCAAAATGGTAAAAGCTACCGTCCAAAGTTGATCCCATCGATTCTGAGCGACAGTCGTCGGCATGTCCGGGCTGCCAGGGAGCATCGGTCCGATGGCGTCCATGGCTAGAGAGGCAGGGCAGAGCGGTCGCTTAACTTGATATACAAGGCACTGCGAAAGCGGGCGACACAATTGTTTGGACGTCCTGCCCCCCCTCTTTTGGTGCGCATGGAACAGAAACTCACAAATGCTTCAAGCGTGTATGCGAGAGACCTGTTGCAGTTCAACAAAGAATCTGGCTTCGGTAAAATTAGCACAACGCATCAGAAAGTTGAAAGGGGTCGGGAAAGGGCCAGCTACTGACAGCATGGAAGTCTGTATCCAAGGAGGGGACTGAGCAGGCTGAAGCAAACAGAGTGTAAGGAAGTCCTGCGCAACCTCAAGCCTTTCGAGTCTAGTGACCTCCGCAAGTTTACATAATGGTACCCTGTGAGCCCAGATATGGGGTCCAAAGGCTAGGGTGGGGAGAAAGCACTGACAGCGGAGTCCGGAGGTCTCCTAGCTCAGGTAGGGCATCGTAAAGCTTAAAAAGCATATCCCACAATAGGAGACGCCGATCCAACAGGTCGGGGGGACTACGCCCTTGTAACAAGATCTGGTGACTAGAGAGGTGCTGGGGTGGAACCACAATTTTCCCTCTCGCATGGCTAAGGGAAAATTGTGGTTCCACCCCAGCACCTCTCTAGTCACCAGATCTTGTTACAAGGGCGTAGTCCCCCCGACCTGTTGGATCGGCGTCTCCTATTGTGGGATATGCTGGGTGGAACCACAATTAGGGAGATGGCTCGGTCATCAAAGTGCGCCCACACAAACCACGCCGAACGAGAAGGTTGCCCGATCAGAAGTTTATGGACAGAGCGACTGTAAGGTTCGTCGGGGAAAAGTCTAGCGGGGCGCAATACAGCAATATCCTTGCCGACGATAAGCAGCTGCCTGTCGTTCAAGAAAACATCCTGGTAAGGAAGGGGTTTGTTCTGACATCCCCAATGACAGAGCCAGGGCTCGAGTGCGTTTTTCCAGGCAAAACGGTCGGAGGCCAACAGCTCTATAGCCCATAGAGGAGAATCCCCACGGAAATGGCACCAGGCTTTATGGAGTTTACGTGGAAAGAAGTCAAGAACAACCCCTTTAGGAAGTTGTGGACGACCAACCAAGAAGGTGTTGCATGTGCGTAAAATACGTTGGAGAGGTAGGTCGTGCTCAGTACGGAAAATATGTCCCCAGAAGCTCCAAATACGGGTTAGCCAAAGACGACCCCAAGGCTCTGAGTGGAGGTCATGACAAATAATGCGCACTGCTCGTCTCCGGCTAAGAGTGTTAGCTAGGAAGGGAAGCAGCGGATCGAAGTCAATGCGGAGTAGCGAAAGAAGAAGAGTATGTTTAAAGGCATCAATAGTTTGAAGAGACCGTTGTGAAGGCCACGAAATAGGTGCACACCAAGACCATTTGCTAGTCAGGTAGCTACGGAAAAGGTCAAGCTTCACATGAACAGGAGTCGAGGGATGATCAAAGATACGTCGCAAACCGAAAAAGGAAGAAGAGACCCTAGCCAAAGACACACCAAGCTGTCCCAGCGGGGTGTGCTTGTGTGCCAATGGGACGCCTAGATATATCAAGGAGTCCTGGCCTTGCATGCAAAGGGCTCGCTCGGCCCAAGGGCCAGACGGCAGGGCACGTGCCACGTTCGGTATGTAGGACGGCAGACTTGTCAACGTTAATGCTGAGACCAATGGCAGATAAACATCGTTGCAAGTCGTGCAGCTTGTGCTGAAGATCTGCAGCCGAACATCCTAGTACGAGGATATCGTCAGCATACAGTAAAAGGTGTGGGAGGTTGAATCTGCCGAACGCCGGGTGCTGGGTACGAGTCCAACGTGTGGTGAGATCTCCCACAAAGAAGTCTAAGACCCTGGAGAACACATCAGCCGAAAAGGAGGTACCCTGCAAGATCCCCCGTCCGAGTTTCTGGGACCAAGCTTCACTGCCAAGTTGTAAGTCGACGAAAGTGTTGCAGCAAAGATCCCACAAAACACTAGCTTCGGCACAGCTGCGGGTTTCCCTCAAGAAACGACAAAGAGCCTGATGACTGAGGGTGTCGAAAGCTTGAAAGATATCAAGTTTCATGACATGCAACCCCTGATTTTCGGACCCCTTAAAGAGCTTCATACTAGCTTGGGCGCAGGCAACTGCCTCAAGACTCTGGACCCCACTCCTACATGCATGTTGCCCGGATTTATAATCGGGGAAGAACTGCCTTAGGCGGGTAACAATGATACGGGAAAAGATTTTCCCAAGACATGGGGTAAGTGAAATAGGACGCAGGTCTTTGGGTTTGCAGGGTCGGGGAATCTTGGGGAGGAAGCACAATTTACCTCGGGTCCAGGCCGATGGAACAAGTATATCGCCAGAAAGGATTTTATTAAAGAAACCAACAAGCTTCATAGAAGAATCCTTCTCAAAGAAAGTCTTGACTGCAGCATAGCAAACCGCGTCCTGTCCTGAGGAAGTGTTGGGGCGTGAATGTGTCAGGGCAGTCATGACCTCCTCCGTCGTTATCGGCTGGGGCGACACAGCATGGTGGTGTTTCAGGGCAGCTGTTTGTTCCTCAGAGACAGCAACGTCTCCAGGTGCGAGCTCATATTTACGCTGGTAGAATTCTCGCATATTAGAGACAGCAGCTTGTTGACCTCCAAGGCGTTCAATAAAGCTTCCCTCTGAAAACGTCTGGGAGGCACTGCGACGCAAGTGTGTGATAGCAGATCTGTCTCCTGAGCGTGCATCAGCCAGAAGTTGCAGTTTGTGTTGACGTTGCGCTTCAACACAGGAGACATGTATCAATTTCATGATACGTGCCCGTTCGTCTTCACCAGAAGCGACTCTGCGCTGTCTAATAAGGTCTCGAATATGAGGAGGATCACAGTACTTACGGGATGGAAGACGAGACGGGTGGGCCCGACACAATTCCCCGAAGGACTCCTGTGAGAAGACAAAGTCTGGGTCCTGAGCAGCTGTGGTAAGCGCTTCAAAGGAAGTAGACCATCTACCGCACAGATGTTTAGGGCGGGGGGGTCGTTCAACTAAGCTCGTTCGTCCAGAGAAAATCCCTACAACGGGGACATGGTCAGAAGGTAATGAGGTCATAAGGTCTCGGCGGAGATGAAACGAAGTGTCTACGCCAGGCCATCGGTAAAACAGCCAGTCAATCGAACTAAATTCATTACGGGCCTCCCAGGTATTGCCTAAAAGAGGGCTATATTCCAGGCCTCGGTGGCGAACCAAGAAAAGGAGGCGTGCCAGTCCAGCAAAGGTTGAATTCGGCAAGGTTAAATTCTGATTACAGTCAAAACCTAGCAAGATACAATCACAAAAGCGTGCAGTGCTCAAGGCTTCATCCAGTCCTGCGAGAGACGATAGCCATGCATCAGTAGCATCACGTCGCTGTTGGTGTGGAAAGTGGCCCGTGCCCAAAAAGATTCTACGACCAAAGGCCAAACACTCGAGAACGAAACCTACCCCAAAGGAAGTCCGAGACACAACCTGTAAGTCAAGCAGGTCTCGGAAAAGGAGCCCCGTGGCATGATGACTTAAAGGAGCCTGGTGAACGATAACTGTGCATGTTTGTCCAGCTAATTCAATGTGCTCTGTACGAAAATCGCCCTGTGAAACATCAGAAAAACCGCCTAATTCCTGAAGGAACATAAAGTCCCAGGGGTCTTCAGTACGGTCAAGCAAGGATTTAATTGAATGCAAAGACTTGCCATGGAGATTCCATGTCATAGCACTGAATTCAGGCATCGGCACGGGCATGCGCTTGCGGCGAGGTAATCGGCAGGTTTTGGGGAGAGACGAGTCTAGTCATGCTGTCAGCTCTGCTTCAATGGTTTCCTGGGCACGAGGTAAGACACGGCTTAACACAGCGAGGTCCGTCCACCATCCCGATTCATCCCCTCGGGAGTCGTTCAGGAGCAGTGAGTTGTCGTGTGGCTTACGCTGACTGACATGAAAGATGACCTGCTCTCCTCGAATCCAAAGTTTGCCTTTCCAGTCGAGGTCTATAAACCAACTCAAGATGCAATGAAAGATCCATTTTCTTTGGACCACAGACATGTGCAGTCGCAGCCTTCTTTTCAGGGCTCTTCAGCTTCCAAAGCAAAATGCATGAGGAGCTGGATTTAGACTCCATCTGAGTCTTCGTCTAGCATGGGTTCATCATTTTCACCCATGCCCTCGGCGACATATATTGCCTGAATCTCCACCCTTGGCCCGTCTGTATGCAAGAGTTGCATGAGCCGTGACATATTTTGCTTGAACAGTTTTCCAGATATATCTGAGCTGGAGAAAGCGCGCGGCACCACGTACATGTCATCATAGTACGAGTAAGGCACGTACTCTCGCAAGAAGAACCGGTTGTTGACATATCCAACACCAGGCCGCTGAGCACCATTCAAGACTCTAACCCCGCTCTCGATCGACCCAGCAGTCGTGTTTCCGCTGTAGCCGATCAGCGCTGATCTCATAGCTGTACAGCTGAGATCTACATAGAGTCCCAGGCGCTTGTCCTCTTCGCGCTTGCGCCTTGACGTCTTGACGCCTTTTAGCTCAAAGGTATGAGCCGCTGACTCATCCGATGACTCCCTGTAATGCCCGTGACCATCCTTGGCGAACTGGGAGTGGAAGACAATGAAGAGCAGGGTGGCAGTTCGCGTCCACTCTGATCCAGATGGATCGCTGTCGTAAGGACCGAAGTCTTCAGGATGGAGGCAAAGACTTCTCACATCGTCCCTCCGGTCAGAACGAGCCCATTCTTCCAAACCCACTTTTGAGCCAGGTCGCATGGTCATTCTGAAAAGAGACTGCTTTCCCTCCACAACATACGAAGAGTAGCACCCTGGGTAAACACGTAGGGGCAGCAAGTCTTTCACTTTCGCAAAGATCTTCTTGCCTCTGTTTTCAATCTCATTGAGGTAGTCGAACTTGCAGCTTGGCAAACCGCAGTGCGATGGTTCACTCATGAGTGCTATGCTCGCTTCAACCTGCTTCTTGTAGTCCTCGTCGGTGGTGTT